GCATCCGTACTCTTCATGTGAGCTAATATCAGTCCACCACTAGCTCTAGTTTTCAGATACAGGTGCACTACTTTTCTGACCTACAACAACAACAACAAAAAAGCCATTAAAACCTTTTCCAGTGATGACATAAGCTGGAGGAGGAGCTGCCACCTGCTGTGGAGAGTCACTTTGAAAGGTGACGGTGTGATTCCCAATGGGACTTCTTTCTGTTTTGCAGCGTTATCACCGCGGCGCTCTGGAGGAGGTCTGGCTGCACTCTCTGTCAATTAAATAGGACATAATCCAGGACAACCTACGGCCGTCCTGCTTCATGTGGAGTCTCACCCCATGGAGCTGGGYGGCCATGAAAGCTGAGCAATCAACAAATATCACTGTCTTCATACTTTCTGTCAGGATGAAACTGTCTATGGCTGGGGGAAATAAAACATGATTTGAATGAAATAGAATAAATATAATCTCTTTTTATTCTGGTATAAATTGGGAAAACAAACAAGATTTTAAAAAGAAGTCATTTGTGACGTATCTGTGTACCATGCTGCAGATTTTCCTTTTTTAACTTCTGTTTTCATTTGTTTCTTCTGRTTCCACCCAGGTGAAATCTGCACTATCTTGCCAGGAAATTGTAAATTTCTATGTCTAGTTTTTTTTTTCTCAGCATACAGCTATGACACAGCAGGATAACAGCAGTCCAAATGAATTTTCAGCTGTTTTCTTACAGGAAGTAAAGGCACGGGCTTCTTTATATAGTGATTTGACTCATCCTCTAAAACAAACCACAACAGTGTTAGGTTCGGGTTTTTAAGTCATTTAATGAGTGCTTACTTACTTGTAAATTGTTCGTTGGTGTTTGCCCCCCCTACTTCAGGGTTCACAACACACATAAAATGTTTAGGGAATCTGGGCTTGAACCTGTGGCCTCAGGATTATAAACTAGCAGCACAAACCACTGACCCACAGCAGTGTTAATAAAACTGTGCGCTTGTGAGAAATTACAAAACGAGAATTTAAAAAAATGAATAAACCCTGATCAACTGCAAAAGSCAGTCMTTTTAGGACGTATGCTTTATTTTCTGCCTCATTGTAGAGATTTATATGTTATTTGATCGTTGTTTTATCTGCAAAATTGTTTTGTTGTGACAAACCCCATTAATCCCACTAATGGTCAGTTTTGTTCCTGGTGAACTCATATTTATTAATCAGAGCATTCTTAGAGCTTCAGAAAAGCTGGTGACACTGGTGGAAAAAATATGAGATGTTGGAAAATCCCATKTTCATCTTTAAATGTGTATTTACAGCAGCCCTGTTTAGTCCGCTTTAATCGAACTTTARTTCKGTTGMCTGGAAAATGYGATTTGTYTGGGGAGGTGTGAACGTGAAATCAAACTCTGATGCGGACCAAAAAAGCAAACTATAGTCTGCCTAAAATCCTACAT